ACTGGAAGATTTCGTGTTTGTTCCATCTGGGGGTTGCTAATGACCTCCTCTTGGTGTGTGTTTTATGTTGTTCTCTGTATGCAGGGGTGAAAGTGTAGGTTACTGAGTGTATGAGTGTATGACCCTGGTTTATATAGGGTAACCAGGAAGCAGAACAGGAAGCCCCGCCTCTCAAACAAAGCAGTTAATTTTTAAACACAGAGAGCTCCGCCTCTCAAACAAAGCAGTTAATTTTTAAACACTCACTCACTCAGATTTCTAGTGCCCTCTAAGACAAAGCTTATCCTGAAGCAGAAGGGAACAAAATGGAGATGAGCACCACCTCCCAGGGACAGACACGACTAGATTTAATGTCAGGGGACACCTTTACCTCTACTTACGCCTTCAAAAACAGCCTCAGTTAAGGAGTGTGTCTCCTATGAATGAATGCCTGGAGAAGGTAATAGGCTGGATGAGGAAAAACAAATTGAGACAGAACCCGGACAAGACAGTGAGGCTTGCCATCAATGGTCCTATCTCTGTACAAAGTTTGGAACCACCAGTTAGTTCACAGTTTCTCAACCTGGGGGTCGGGGTCGCTGGGGGGGTTGCGAGGGGGTGTCAGAGGGGTCACCAAAGACCAATGATAGAATTTGGCCCAATTTTATTGTTGGTGGGGTTCAGAATGCTCTTTGATTGTAGGTGAACTACAAATCCCAGCAATTATAACTCCCAAATGGCACGTCTATTTTCCCCAAACTCCACCAGTGTTCACATCTGGACATACTGAGTATTCGTGCCAAGCATGGTTCAGATCTATCATTGTTTGAGTCCACAGTGCTCTCTGGATGTAGGTGAACTACAACTCCCAAACTCAAGGTCAGTGCCCACCAAACCCTTTCAGTGTTTTCTGTTGGTCATGGGAGTTCTGTGTGCCAAGTTTGGTTCAATTCCCTCGTTGGTGGACTTCAGAATGCTCTTTGACTGTAGTTTAACTATAAATAAAGCAACAATAACCCCCAAATGACAAACTCAACGCCCCCCAACCCCACCAGTATTCAAATTTGGGCATATCTGGTATTTGTACTAACTTTGGTCCAGTGAATGAAAATACATCCTGCACAGGCATGTAGCTGGGGGGGGCTTGACAGACTTAACCCCCCCCCCCCCGAAATTCTCATGGTGGTCCACGAGAAGGCCTTACTGGTGCATTATTTATACTGTTATGTTTATTCATATCATGACCTGATCACCATAATATATCCCATATTCTTTGGGGTATTGGGGCAACAATACAAAAGGTTTGCTAGGGTAGACCCTCTTTCACTCAGCCTCAGCCTCCCTCCCGAATCAAAATCCTGGCTACGGGCCTGATCCTGCATATCAGATATTTATATTATGATTCACAACAGGAGCAAAATTACAGTTATGAAGTAGCAACGAAAATAATGTTATGTTTGGGGGACACCACAACATGACGAACTGTGGCATTAGGAAGGTTGAGTTAGTTCAAGGGAAAGCAACCAGCTGGGTCACAGGAACATCCAGGAGTGAACACAACACACGTGAACTGAAATCACTCCACTGGTTGTCAATTGGATCCTGGGCAAATGCCCCAGGGTTGGTTTTGACCTTCCAAGCCTCCCATGGTTCGGGCCCAGGTTCCCTCCGGGGGGGGGGGGCTTCTCCTCCCGCACAGCCCTGGTCCCTTCAGAAAGCGGAGGTCTTCTGGGTTTGACATTTGGAGTCCCCCTCCAAGAGGACCCCCCTTCCCATTGGCTGCCCCAAAAGAAGGCGGCTGGGGGATCCCCTGCTCAAGGAAGAGATCCCTCTGCGAAACCAGTCCTTCCAACAGGCGTAGGCAAACTGGGGCACTCCAGGTGTTTTGGACTTCAACTCCCACAATTCTGCAGCTTACGGTTCCCATAGCCCTTCTCACGCTCAGCCGGAAGCCCCTCCCCCCAGGGCGCCTCTAGGACTCTTCTTCCGGTTCCGGTGGGCAGCCTTGCTCTTGGGCCTAGCGGTGGGTGTGGAGGAAGGAATAGGGCGCCGTCTCTGGCAACGAGCGAGGCCCCAAGGCCGTGTTTCCTTTGCGGGGCTCGCTTGGCTGTCGTCGTCCTCCTCCTCCTCCGGAGTCATGCCTTTGCTGGTGGACGGGCAGCGGGTGGAGCCCTCGCAGCGGCTCCGAGCCTTGGCCTTCGCCCACCGGGGCCTGGAGGTAAGCAAGGCCGCGGCGGAGGGAAATCCAGCTGTGCGGCAGGCCTCGGCCCACAACAGCCATGGGCCAACTTCCGCCCTCCAGGTGTTTTGAACTGTTAGTCTGGTAGGAATTGGAGTCCAAAACACCCGGAGGGCCCAAGTTTGCCCACGTCGAGACTCAGAGCATAATAGAGATGGAAAAGACCCCGTGGCCCATCCAGTCCAACCCCCTTTATTCTGCCAGGCAGGAAAAGCACCATCAAAGCCCCCCCCCCCCCCCGACAGATGGCCACCCAGCCTCTGTTTCAAAGCTTCCTAGGAAGGAGCTTCCACCACAATCCGAGGCAGAGAGTTCCACTGATGAACAGCTCTTCTTACAATCAGGAAGCTATTTCTCTGCTTACTGCATTTTTACCCCACTCTATTAATAAACCTTTATTTGTACCCCGCTACCATCTCCCGAAGGACTTGGTGCAGCTTACAAGAGGCCGAGCCCAAATACAACAATAAAAACAACAGCAACAACACAATAACTCAACCCCCCCCCAAAAACCCCCCCCAAAAAACAAAGCAATAACATTAACAACATCTAATGACGCAATTAAAAACAATGGCTGGACCAAATGTAATAATTAAAATTAAAAAGTGCTGGGCATGACAAGGTGGGGTGTTTGGAGGGGGATGGGCATGCAGATATCCTGGATCTCTGATAAAGTGCGTTGGGACATAATGCTAGGAGTTTCCTTATTCTGGAAAGGCACACTTGAACAACCACGTTTTCAAGCTCCTCCTAAAGATTGCTAGCAACGAGGCCTGCCTGATGTCCTTAGGGAGAGAGTTCCAGAGTCGAGGGGCCACCACCGAGAAAGCCCTATCCATCGTCCCCACCAATCGCACCTGCGATGCTGGTGGGATCGTGAGCAGGGCCTCTCCAGATGAACGAAGAATTCGTATGGGTTCATACACAGAGATGCGGTTACGCAGGTAGGCTGGTCCCAAACCATTTAGGGCTTTGTAGGTAAGCACCTGCACCTTGAATTGGGACTGGAAAATGAATGGAAGCCAGTGGAGCTCCTTAAACAGGAGGGTTGTCCTCTCTCTGTAAGGAGAACCAGTTAACAATCTGGCCGCCACCCGTTGGACCAATTGAAATTTCCGGGCCGTTTTCAAGGGCAGCCCCACGTAGAGTGCATTACAGTAGTCCAATCTGGAAGTGACTAAGGCGTGGACCACCCCAAAGCGGACTCAGAACGGCTTCCAGTTTGGCAGTAATTCAATGCCCGATTGCAACATAGGGTAAAGATAAAGGTTTTCCCCTGACATTAAGTCAAGTGCTCATCTCCATTTCTATGCCAAAGAGCCAACGTTGTCCATAGACACCTCCAAGGTCATGTGGTTGGCATGACTGCATGGAACGCCATTACTTTCCCGCCGGAGCGGTACCTATTGATCTACTCATATTTGCATGTTTTCAAATTGCTAGGTTGGCAGAAGCTGGGGCTGACAGTGGAAGCTCACGCCACTCCCCGGATTCAAACCTGCAAATCTTTTGATCAAGAAGTTCAGCAAGTCAGCACTTTAATCCACTGCGCCACCAGGGCTCCCCATTGCAACATAGAGACATACAAAATACACAACATTTTAAGCATTGAAATCATAAAACAAATTATATAAATACATTTAAATAACTTAAAAACATAGCACCTAATCCCACAATCATAGTCCAACCTGAATTTGGTTATATTAATTCCATGGTTGCATATTGCATTGTGATTGTACTACTTACCAAACGCTTGGTTCCACGGCCAAGTTTTATTTCTGAAAACCAGGAGGGAGGAATCTGATCTACAGTCACTGGGGAGGGAGTTCCATAGTTGAGGGGCCATCACTGGGAAGGCCCAGAATGGGACACAGTATTCCAGGTGAGGTCTGACCAAAACAGAATACAGTGGCACCACAACTTCCCTCAATCTGGACACTAGACTCCTTTGGATGCAGTCCAGAATCCCATTGGCTTTTTGAACTGCTACATCACACTCTTGGCTTGTGTTCAGCTTTTTATCCACAAAGACTCTGAGATCTTTCCTACATGGACTGTTTTTGAGCCAGGCACCCCCCATTCTGTATCTCTGCATTTCATTTTTCTCTGCCTAAATGTCGTATATTACATTTGTCCTTGTTGAAATGCATTCTGTTAGTTTTGGCCAATTGGCTCTCTAATCTGTTAAAGTCATTTTGAATTCTGGTCCTGTCCTCTGGAGTATTAGCTCTCCCTCCAAATCTTGTCCCATCTGCAAACTTGATCAACACTCTCACAATTCCTAACAGCTGGTAAGCTGTTAGGAATTGGAGTTGAAGTCCAAAACACCTGGAGGGCCCAAGTTTGCCCATATGTAACAAGATTTGATAAGATGTTCTGTTCCTGATTTGAAAGTCTCATGTCCTGTTTAATTGTGTGCCTTTGCTTTGAAAGCCATTCTCCTACTCCAAAAATGTTGTTTTTTGTGCCAGAAATTATGTTGAATTGATGGATACTCGTTGAAAAACTATCACAAAATGTGTTGCACTGTTGCTTTACTTGGATTTTCAATCCCCTCCCTTCTTTCCCCCCAACCATCAGGAGCAAGCCAGGCGTCTGCGAAGCCAACCTGCTCGTTTGGTAGGCCCCAAAGGACTCCTCTACGTCCAGCAGAGAGAGTTTGCAGCCACCACTCCTCGGGATGGTATGTAAGCCTCACACGAGGGTCCCTCCTCATTTGTGAGTCTGGTGCTTCCAGTGCTGATGATCTGTGGCTTCAGATTATGAGACAGTCACTGGTAGTAAGCCTCCTGACCATTTTTGCATTTCCCTGGGCTGGTTGGAGGGATGGGTCCAGGAGAATCCCAAGCATCAGGCAAAGTCTTTGTGTGTGTGTGTCGGGGCGGGGGTTTGAACCCCATCCAGAACTGGTTGACACTTCTCTATCCCCAGATTAGGACCCTTGATGTCAAGCACCTCTGTTTTGTCTGGATTCAGTTTCAATTTGTTTTCCCTCATCCAGCCCATTATCTCCTCCAGGCATTCATTCAAATGAGACACGCTATCCTTAGCTGAGGCCTTCTCTTTCCTTTGCAGAGAGAAGACAGAGGCCAGGGCTCCCTTTGCTTCCCCAAGCTTAGCAGGGCCAGGAAAGCGAGAGTACAAAGGAACCTCGGGTGAAAGCAGCTGTGGTGGAGGGGCAGGGCCGCACTTTGAGGCCTTGCCCCATGAATCATGCTGCAACAGCAGAGTTTTCTGAGCAACTTTTACCCACCATCCTGCCCTTCCCTTGCTGATCAGGGGAAAACCACCAACCATATTAGCTCTCACCCCCTCCTTAATTATCATCTGCTTAGAAATTTAGCAGTAAATGTTAATAAGATAAAGGATATGTAAAAGTGTAAGATATATATAACACCTAGGAATGCTGGATACAAAATATCCTAGAAGTAATTGTACCAAATGAAAATAAGTGTAAACACTAATAATAGGATTTACAAATGTTTATACAAAAGGTTTATAAGTATCCACGCCTAACTGAAATAAGTGTAAATAATGTGATGAAAATGTATTAAGAAGCAATGATAATAAAAGAAAAAATATCTTAGATCCCCTGGTGGCAAAGCGGATTAAACCGCTGAGCTGCTGAACTTGCTGACTGAAATGTCAGCAGTTTGAATCCAAGGAGTGGAGTGAGCTCCCACTGTTTGAAAACATGTAAATCTGAGTACATCAATAGGTACCGCTTTTGCGGGAAAGTAACAGTGCGTCATGGAGCCATGCTGGCCACATGACCTTGGGGGCATCTACGGACAACGCTGGCTCTTTGGCTTAAAAATGGAGATGAGTACCACCTCCCAGAGTCGGAAACGACTTCACTTAATGTCAAGGGGAAACCTTTACCTTTTTATATATGTATGTATGTATACACACATACAACCAACCATGGGCACATAAGTGAAGAGGAGGAGTGTGCCGAGGGGGTGCGCTGTGGAGGCAACAGCATGTAAGGTAACTTGCTGTTAAAACCCATGGAGCACAAGCATGCCATGCTCAGTTAGAGAGCTAGAATACCCCTCCTTGCCATCCTCGTCCCCACACGCACACCAAATCACTGAAATAAAAGTGATGCTTTGAAATCACCACTACTCCGCTCATCAGGCCTAACCCCCATGAATGTAAAGGGGCGAATCACAATGGATCTTACCTTTGCTCTTCCCCATTTACCAACAGGTTCTGTTTCCATTCTTGGATCTGATGATGCAACTACCTGCCACTTAGTAGTAATCAGGCATACAGGTACTAATATTTTTTTTCTTTTTCCTTGTAGTAGTTCAGAGACAAGTGTTGGGTTTCAAGGAAGGTCTTAATGGTGTAGAACTAATGCAGGGAATCTATGAATCTATTAACTGAGAAGGGCTGATTTTCAATATAGAACAAGAAAAACCTCCCATTCTCTCCTCTTAAATTGGGTAAAGTGCATGAGGAACCAGAAGTGGGTATGTTTGGTGATTGTGTAATACAGGGCTCCCCAAACAAGGGCCTACAGGCTAGATGTGACCCTCCAGGTTCATGTACACTTTCGCCTTAGGATCGCCCCCAGTCTGAAACCCCTTGAAGACTCACAGCAACAACAATAGTCCCCATTAACTTGACTCTCTCATCAGCAAAAAGCAGGCCCACATTTCCCATTGAAAGACTGGTAAGTTTGTGCCCTGTATCTCAAAAACTAGAGCTGATAGGGGGAAAGCTGGTACCATTTTTGGAATCAGCAGGTCCAGCATACCCAGAAAAGGGTCTGTTTATTCACAAAGTCAAGCTATAAAATAGGCAGGTGTGTTATTCCTTGCTTCTTCCAAGATGGATGTAGATAATCCTTGTAAATGTCATAGACATCAAACCTGTTCTTATTTTCCTCTATGTTTGTTTCCCAGGTAGTGGAGCTACCTGCCTGACGCATTGTGATGGGTCAGATACAGAAATGGAAGTGTTGTTAATGATGAATGCAATCAAAATGCTTTCTTCTAACACAGAATGTGGAAGGTCAGTTTTTAAAAAAAAATCATTTTAGAGGATTAAGTTGCAATTGCCAAAATAACAGCAACATTTATTAAATAATGCTTTAAGAAATACGTATAAATCCACCCCACCCCAAATATGGATGCCCTTTTTGAGAATGCTAAGGAAAGCTAGATTAAAGATAGATTTGGAATTTAATCAATAAATATATGTTATTATTCATTATGACAGCAATAATAATTGTTTGTCAAAATGATGTTATCAAATAATTCTGTAATAAATGCCGTATGTATAAATCCCAACCTCTCATATGGATGCCAATTTGGAGGATGCTAAAGAAAGATTTGGAATTGAATAAACAAATGTTTGTTATTATTTGCTACTAGCTTGGGTATCTGGCATTGCCCAGGTTATTTGAAAAAGTCAGTTTTCTAATTGTACAAAATGCATAAGGCTGTGAGTGTACTACAACTCCCATCATGCCAGGTCAACCCTGAGAAACTCCATCAGTACTTAAAGTTTGTTATGTTGGGCAAGTTTGCTCTGGATGCATCATTGGTGGGGTTCAGTGTGCTCTTTGGCTGTAGAGTAAACTACGACTCCTACTATGATGAGTCAGTCTTCTCAAACCCTTCCAGTAGGTTCAGTTGGTCATAGGGGTTCTGTGTTCCAAGTTTAGTCCAGGTCCATCATCTGTGGATGTCACAGTTTCTCTGGTTGTGAGTGAACTACAACTTCCAGAAAGGAAGGTCAGTTTTTCCCAAACCCCTTCAGTAATTAAATTTTGGCATATCAAGTATGTGTGCCAAGTTTGGTCCAGATCCATTGGTGTTTGGGTTCACAGTGAACTCTGGATGTAGGTGAACCACAACTCCCCCAAATCAAGGTGAATTTTCCCCAAAGGTCTCCAGTATGTTTTGTTGGTCATGGGGACTCTGTGGGCCAAGTTTGGTCCAATTCCATCTTTGGTGGAGTTCAGAGGGCTCATTGATTGCAGGTGAACTATGCATCCCAGTACCTACAACTTCAATAAATCATGGTGAATTCTCCCAAACCTCTCTAGTATGTTCAGTTGCTGATCAATTCCTCTGTTTGCATAGAAAAGAATAGGAAAGGGTTAAGGGTGAGGCAATGGGCAGGGTCATGCAAATTCCACACCAATGGAGAGAGTAAGAAACACTGGGATGTCTGTGGTGGAGAAAACACATAAAATCTAGAAAGAAATGGTCCCTGTATGAAAGCCTTCACTTGGGTGGTGGGCAGTATGGTGTTTGTGGAGGACATTGGCAGGGCTTTTGGACATGGTTTACAGCTCTCTGTATAACCTGCAATGTCTGGAGGGAGGGCTTTTGGCATCTCCTGAGTAGTTGGGCCTATAGCTCTTTGTGGAGGCAGGAGCCTGTCTGTGTAAGTGGACACCCCAACCACATACACAGATACATATTTTCACTGTTATTATGTGTATAGATGAAAATAATAATAGTTACTCTTTGTAACCATTTTACTTACATTTCTCCTTTCCTCCTTTAATTAGGAGTCAAGGTGGCTTCCAGATTAAACCAGATAAAAGAAAATAAGTATTAAAATGTAATTAAACTATCAATAACACTTAAAACAATTGAAAACATACATTGAAAAAAATAAAATGAGATTTTAAAAAGTTTGGAACCTAATTACCAAATCTCCAAAACCTGTTTGAATTTTTAAAAAATGTTGATGGAAGGACAAGAGATGGAGGGAGCTTTCCAATCCCTTTTAATGTTCTCTCACACAAGCAGATTAAATACATTAAGTGATGTGCTATTACATTTCAGATAGCAATTCAGTCCTTCTCACATAAAGCTTGGAGTTTCGATAGTTCTGCTAAAATCATAGAGTAAATGAATCCATTCTTAGCTCTGCTTGTTTGTTTAGGTTGGAGGTACACCTGGTTGGAGGTTTCAATGACGATAGGCATTTATCCCAGCAACTTACCAACCAGCTTCTTAGTAAGTCCACATTTTCTTTCATGTTCTCTCAACCAAACATCGGGTTCTGATGGGGTCTGAGTTTAATTTATAGGACCCATCAGTGTTCAGAGTTTGAGTGGTCAGCAAGAGCTCAAAATAAAGTAGAAGCGAATACTGCTGCTCGAGTTAAACAGATTAGCTAACCAAATCCATGTCAATTTTGCATACTTTCTGCTATTCGGTGGGAAGGACGGGATGCGATGATCTTTTCCCACTCATTCCTGATGGAACTGTTCCTCAGATGGTTGAGCAACTGTTGGTTTGGCTAACTATGGTTTGGTGTGATGGCCAGATTGATGAACCTACTGAGATTTAGAATGTCCTTGAAAGCTGCTCTTTGTGCTTAATACTCAACTTTTGGTGCATTTGGTGCTCTTAATAACCCTATTTACTTGATGCTCTCCTTTTTTGGGCTTAATATCCTCACTGAAATTAGGACACGCATTAGATTTGTGCCATGCAGTCACCTTAGTGCTGCGCCAAAGCAAAAGGGGAAGCTGCTTCAGGAGCTCCTCTTTGAAGGACGCCCTTTAATGCAAAACCTTGCAAAACTACAACCCCCATGGCTCCATTGCATTGAACCAAGGCAGTTAAAGTGGATTCATTCTAATGCATAGATGGACCCCAAGGTTTTCTTTTCTATTGCTGGAAGCTTTGGTGCTCTAACTCTTGTTTTTAAAGAAGGAATAATAAGCAGGAAACAACTGTAATGCATACTTTTTGGGGCCACATTACAAAGAGTGCACTTTTTGCCTCTTTTCTGCTCATAACATTTGGCAGCAAATACCTTTTTTTTTTTTTGGTTTTAGGGTTTTGAAATTTGAGGTGCACATTAGATTCGATGTTGCATGAGATTCGAGTAAATACGGTAATAAAATAAATAGTATTTCCTTATAGGTTGCATAATTTTCATCTATTGTTATTCCTAGGAGCATTTGACAGCTTGCAGGACAGCATCCATTTAGTGACTTTCTGTGTGACAGGTAATGATTCCAAATGGCGAAAGCCCTACCTCTCCCCTCCTGTGTTTTCTCTCATCTACTTGGCCAATGATGGCATGTGGCTCTTGGCTGTTTTTCTGGCCACAGAGTCATACTGTATTATTATTATTATTATTATTATTTGATACAGAATAAGATTAGTACACAGCAAACAAGAGCACTATGTTGGCTGTTGTATTGGATTACACATCGGACCCTTCCCAAGTGTCTAGGACTGTGTGATGTATCAGCGAATAATGTGTGCAGGTCCAAGCAGGGTGGCCTTTTGTAGCTGATAGATGGTAATTTTGTCAGTGCTAATTGTTTTTAAGTGCAGGCTGAGGTCTTTAGGCACTGCATCCAGTGTGCCGATCAGTACTGGGACCACCTTTACTGGCTTGTGCCAGAGTCTTTGTAGTTCTGTC